ATATTAAGCATAGGATGTTTAATTTTTTTTTATATTCTCTTTCATTTTATATAAAAAAGCTTAAAGTTGATTTTCTTTTACTTTGTATTTTTGTTTCATTCTTAGATCAACTAACTTTCCGTTATATTTTTTACAATTACACAGTATTTTCAAGTGTACTTGTACTACTGGTACTTTTAATTTTCCTTTAATAGTAGTTTTTTGATCACTTATTGTTCATTCAAGTAAAATAGATAACCAGAAAATTGAATTTTTTTTTTAATTTATTAAAATATTAAAAATATTAAAATTATTAAATATTAATTTTATCAACAGATTTAATTAATATCAAAATTATACTAATTTTATCAATGGATTTTATTGATATCAAAATTATATTAATTTTATCAACAGATTTCATTGATATCAAAATTATATTAATTTTTATAAAAGTATCTAATCAAATGCCTTGTGATTATTAATTGATTAACTTATTATAAAAAGATTTATGAAAGTTTATTAATTTCTGATAGCCTGATTGAATAAGTATAAAAGAGTATAAAAAGACCATTCATTCTCTATCTTTTAACTGTTGATATTTTTTTAATATTAATGATTCGTTTCTCCAGTAATCATATTCATTTTAAAAAGAATAGCACTCATTTTCTTCATTCAAGTAGTTATTCATATGGTCATGATTGAAGGAATAGTACTTATATTCTTCATTCATATAGTCATTTTTATAGTCATAGTTAAAGGAGCAGCACTCATTTCTTTTGTTCATGTAGTCGTTCTTATAATCGTGATTAAAGAAGCAGTACTTATTTCTTTCATTTACATAGTTATTCTTATAGTTATAGTCAAAGAAGCTATGGCTGTCACCACTGATCTGACAGTCGCTCCTGCAGCTGATCTTATTTCAGATGCTGGTAAATATTACATTTGTTATTACTGGAATTATCTATTTAATTAATTATTATTTTCTTAGAACTCAAATACGACAATAGTTATTTAAGATCAATTAATGAAAAGTGTTCAGAATCAGAAATGTTTAATTTATTGTTTTACTATTTGTGATATAATCAGCTTACTTATCTATATTTTCTATTAAAACAACCTATTAAGCAGACAATAAAAAAATATCTCATGATTTTTTATTCGATTATATGAATCAGTTGCTTATAGAGATTTTTAAAAATAAAGATAAAATGAAGGAATTAGAAAATACTCTTTTAGACCAACCTAAAACTGGTAGTGTAGAAACTATCAAAGTAAGAAAAAGTATAGGTTAAGGAGATGTGGAAATTGTAAGATCATCTTCAGGACTTATATCTAAGCTTAAAAAATCAGGCTCTTCAAGTCGTATCAAAGAATCAGATTCTTCAAGTTAAATTAGAGGATTGAGTTCTCAAAGGTGTGGCATCAGAAGATCAAGTTCTCGAAGACATGGTATCAGAAGATTAAATTTTCAAAGGCGTGGTATCAGAAGATTAAGTTCACAAAAGTGTGGCATCAGAAGATCAAGTTCACAAAAGTGTAATAAAAGAAGATCAAGTTCTCAAAAATGTAGCATCAGAAGATTAAGTTCCTTAAAGCGTAGCAGAAAAAGATCGAGTTCTTTAAGATGCAGCAGGAGAAGATCGAGAACTCTAAGATATATGCATATTAGCAAACTAGAGAAAACTTTCAGGAAGGTTTAAGGGTAATAAATTTTAATGTTTTCTTAATAGTACATATATAATAAGTTACCAGGGGGGACAAAAGTATTGCACGCTTTTATTTTTTCAATAATTTTTTATTTTTTACAGAAACATACAATTTTTTTTTTATTTTTCGAAAACTGACATTAATATTTAGTATGTCCTCCATTGGCGTCGATCACAGCCTGAATTCTA